TACTTGGACAACGTGAGCGCGCGGGTAGCGCCCTGGTGCGACTGCGGAGCCAGCGGAAACCGGCGTGAGGAGTGCGAAACCTTCCGGGGGCTCTTTACAAGGAACCGCTGCTTGGGTGAGGGGCCCGGGTGGGGCCGCGTGGGAGTGCATTCGGCGCTTACCGCCTGGTCCCAAGCTGCTGTTCTGGCGGGAGCCCATTTTAGAGGTGAGGAAACTGAGGCTCTTTGCGGCAGCCACGGAGGCCCACTTCCTCCTCTGCTGTCGTCGTGCCCCTTGGGGAATCTGCGCCCAGCTGTCTCCGGAGACCAGGTCACAGACCCAGGTAGAATCCCAGGGTTGCCTAGGCTGGTGCCCTTGCTAGCAGGAAGTAGGGACAGTGAAAACAAGTTTCCAAGGACATGGAACGAAGAAGAATACGAGATTCCCGCTTTCGTCATCTCTGAGGCTATTCCATTCCTGAGGCACAGCCAACGCCTCCCATTTATGATCTTGCCATTTGGGGCTGAACAGCTGGGTAGTTCGCTGCCCAGTCTGGGAGTTAGTGGGTCTGAGTTAGAAGCCTGACTCTGCCACTTGTTGAGAGTTAGTTAACTCCTCTAAGCCTTTTTTTGTCCATCTGTAAAACGAGGATGGTAATTGTCACCCTTCCCTGTGAGACTGGAAGACGACAGTTTGTAAGGCACTCTTAACACAGTTGTCCTTATTTTGTTATTCCCCAGCACCTTCCATCCCAAAAGCCAGTCCTTGCAGATGTCCCTCCCATTCCTGCCTAGCAAGGGCCCACGTGGGTTGCCAAGTCTCAGTTTGTCCTTGCGGTGCTGGACCCTGTGCTAGGGTTTCTCAGCCAAGCCCACCCTACACCCCTCCCCTCCATAGATGGCGCCATACAGACCTTTGACGGCGGCTGGCCGCCAATCCTACAAGACCAGCTGGACCCCCACCGGGACCCTGAACACAACGTCCTGCAGGTAGGTGCAGGGAGGGTGTGGTGAGCTGGCAACCCCTGCACTGCCTCCTGCCACCCTTCCATGCCAAGTGGGCCCAGATGGAGGCATGAATGGCCTGGTACGGTGGGGGTGGCAGAGAGCAGTCAAATTTCTGCTTTAAGTCCTCACTCTGCTCTCACCCACCAAGGTGTCCTCCTCAGACGGGCCTCTGGGGTGGAGCTCCCTTCTCTCCATGCTCCCTGTCCTGGCTCTCCAGCCCCTGCTCTGACTAGGACAGCAGACCTTGGACAACAGCCAAGTGTCCCACTCTGCCTAGGATAACTGGTCTCATCTGTGGCCTCCTGCCCCATTGAAAAGGGACTGGCTTACTTCCCAAGCTGGCCCCAGTGCTCTTACCTCACTGCCTTTTGCAGGTCTGGACAATCTTATCAGCTTCCCAAGCAGGTCATGCTCCCAGGAGTACTTGTAGGCGAAACTCCCTCTAATACTCTAGCCTTTCATGGCACCCTCCCAGTCAGACACCCCCATCAGAATAGCCATCTGCACCCCATAACTAATGTTGGCATCATGCTTCTGGTCCATAATATGCCGCTTGCTGGGCACCACCTGGAGTGAGAATCCAGTTCCGTACGTTGCACTGGCCATATGGCCATCTTCCCCATGGTTTAACCTAGCACTAGAATGATTCCCATAACTCAATAAATCCATATGCACTGAGACTGGTGTTGCTTTCATGTGATCTGTGTCTTGGGAGCCTGGAGACCAGTGTCAGCCACAGGGTGTGCTTCAGCTGGCCTGTGTGACCTTGGATGGCCTCAGAAGCTCTCCAGGCTTCCTCACCTGTGGGTGCTGAACTGGATCAACTATCAGGTCCTAGTGGTGGGGATTTTGGTTGCTTTTGTTTATTCTTTCATTCTCTGCTAGTAATCAGATAGAGAAACTACATTTCTCAGCCTCCCTTGCAGCAAGGGGTGGTCATGTGACACAGTTCTGGCCAATGAGTGAAACTCACAGATAAGCCTTCTACCGGAGCTTTTTATAAAAAGGAACAGACTTGCTGACTGGGCCCTTCAGCCTCTGGCCTCAAACTGCCCCTCTTCCTGCCCAGAACTTGGTGGCATTGCCAGGGATCATGGGTACCATCTTGAAAGCAGAAGCACATGACATTGTGGAGCTGCTGCACTGTCCGCAGTCTGCCTTCCTCTGGACTGTATTATGTAAGAAAAATGATACTTCCAATTTGTTTTAAGCCAGTTTCTCTTCAGGTGTCTGTTTGCAGCCAAACATCGGCTCTGCTTGACACACTCCCACCTATGGGTGCTGAGAGCTGTAGTGTTACCTGCTACGCTCACCTGGGGGAGCCTCATCCCCTTACACACAGAGCCTGGCCCTGACAGACACTTGAAAGAAGGGGCGATGGTGGTTTTTTTTTTAATTTCCACCTAATCTACCTGTTACTGTCCACGTGGGGAGTCAAATTCTTTCCTGGAGATGAAGGAAATTTATCATAAAGGTTTTTATAAACACTCCATGTGTGTGGCCATTGAGGACACAGCAAATGCCAAGGGCATTGTGTTAAACTGCAGTTCCATGGAGGAGTTTTGGGAGGAGAGGGCAGAATGATGGGGGCCAGGTACTAAGCCTTCTTCCTCCAAAGACTGGAGGCTCCTGATGAGTGAAGGGTTACTGTGTCTCTGGGCTGCTCCTTCTCAAACAGGGTTGAGATTTGGCAGGGCCCACAAAACAGGTTGAAGTGGAGGCGGCGGTGCCTAGCTCAGATCTCTCTGGGCCAGTGCAGCCCATCGCCAGGCTGCTGGGGCTGTTGGCTGCTAACACAGCTCACAGCTGCCCTCTTCTCCAGAAGAAAGGCCTGTGAGGTTGCATTCTGCTCTCTGAGGGGGACAGCGGCCAGTGACTGACTGAGGCAGGAGTTCAGAGGCAGTTCAGGCCAGGCCTGTGTGCTTCGAGGGGACAGTTCTGTGTGCCGTTCATGCTTCAGAGCTCGCTGTGGGACCTGGCTGAGAATAGATCCCAGCAGAGACCACATCCCAGTTTAGCTCCTTCCCCTGCCCACTCCTGCCTCGCTCACTTCGAGGCTCCCCTGAGGGCACTCCCTCCAATAAATCATGGCCTGAGAGTCCCTGTCTTGGGTTCTGACCTAAGACACAGGGTACGGACCACGCCTGGGGCTGGCCTGACCAGAGAAAGAGCCACCGACTCTGAGACTGGGTAGTTAGCAGCTCACACCAAGCCTGCAGACAGCGCATGTGGCAGCTGTCAACCAGCCTCCCAGCTTCAGCCAGTCCTCTCCTGGTTGGACACCTTTTATTTCTTTTTATTGCCTGATTGGTCTGGCTAGATCTTCTAGTACTGTGTTGAATTAAAGTAGTAAAAGTGGGCATCCTTGCCCACTATTCCTGGTATTAGAGGAAAAACTTTTAGTCTTTCACCATTGAGTATGATGTTGTGGGATTTAATGCAGCTTTTATTATGTTGAGGTGGTTTCCTTCTATTCCTAGTAGGTTGAGTGTTTTTATCATGAGAGGGTGTTGAATTTTGTCAAATGCGTTTTCTGGGTCAAGTGAGACGGTTCCCCCCTCATTCTGTTGATGTGGGGTATTACACTGATGGGTTTTCATAAGCTGAACCTTCATCCTTGCATTCCAGGAATAAATCCCACTTGGTCAAAGTGTATAATCCTTTTACTATATGACTGAATTCTGTTTGCTTGAGTTTTGTTGAGAATATTTGCATCAATGTCATAAGGGATAGTGGTCTGTAGTCTTCTTGAAGTGCCTTTGGCTTTGGTGTCAGAGTAATGCTGGCCTCATGGAATGAGTTAGGAAGTGTTCCCTCCTCTTCAGTGTTTTTTGAAAAGTTTGAGAAGGACTGATACTAGTTCTTTAAATGTTTGGTGGATCTTACCAGTGAAGCCACCAAACCCAGGGCTTTTTTTTGTTGGGAGATATTTGATGACTGATTCAATCCCCTTACTAGTTATATGTCTATTCAGATTTTCTATTCCCTCACAATTTAGTCTTTTTGTTTGTTTGGTTTTTTTTCATTTTGCAGTTTTATTAGGTAGAATGGTTACAATTTGACTGCACATATACAATATATTGCATGTAAATACATATATACAATATACTGCACTTTTTTTTAGTTTAAGTATATATACTGATCATTGTTTCTAAGAACAGTTTAGAGCTTTAGCTTTTTTTTTTGGAGTAAAGGTAGATTTATTTAGAGAGATACATACTACATAGAGTATAAGGCAAGACAAAGACCATGAGGTGTAGGGGCTGGGCACTCGGGTTAAAGTAAAAGTAGGTACACACTCCATAGACAGTGTGGGCTGTCTCCGGAGATGAGGGAGCAAGAGAGGCCTGGAGCCTTAGCTTTTTAAACTCACATAGTTATCAAAGAAATAAGTACTCTCCTGGTTGGAACCAAACACAAATCAAACTGGCTTGGGCATACAACTGAGCAGTCTGGGCTTCAGGCACAGCTGTCTCCAGGGGTTCAAAAAAATGTTGCCCCTGCTGGTCTGTGATCCCCTCTGAGGCCAGACAGGCTCTTACCACAGGGTAGGTGAGGATGCTAGCCCCGGATCTACACGCTCTCCCTTTAGCACTCTCAGCAGAGAAAGGCACTCTTCTTTCCCAGCATTTGTGACTTGGAGAGTGACATGAGCCTACCAAGATCACATGGAATGGGAAGGACAGGTTTCCACTAGAAAAAAGGAGGGGTATTGGGTAGAGTGAAGCTCAGAGTCTAGCCTGTTCCCACTTCACAAAGAAGAAGGAATGTTCTCAGCCACCTGCACCTGTGTGGGGATGCACACCTGCAAGAGGACTGGAGAGACGGGTGTGGGTGGGGGCTGGGGTGGCAAGTGAAAGCATCGCCTTGCCCTGTTGACCATCAATGTCATAAGGGATAGTGGTCTGTAGATTTCTTGTGTGGTGGCCCAAATTCAGAATTAAACATCTGCTAAGGGATTTGCCTTTTGTGAGAGTGTTAAACTCAACTACTCCCATCTTTTATTCAGATAATTTGAGTGAAAAATAGGCATACACTTTTCCAAAGATTGGGAAGAGAAAAGTGAGCAGAACTTGGCTGACAATAGCATAATTGTTCCATGGTAGCTGGCCTTCATCCTTCAGTCCTTCTCTCCAGCGCAGGCACAGGGTTTAATCAAATGGAACCTCTTTAACATCAGACAATGTGCAACAGAAAAGAGGCTTCCTTTTTGGGTGCAGGGGAGAAAGGAAAGGTCACGGGGTCCCCAAGTGAGCCTGGCTCTCTGTTTTTTCCTAGAGTGAACATTTCCTGCAGGAGGCTTGAGGCCGTCAGGGGCATGGCCCAGCCAAGAGGGGGGATAAGGCACTGTGGCATGCAGAGGCCACCATCTTGCCACCTTTGGGACAATCGACTTTCCTGGGGTTTTGTTGCTGTAATGGGCTGACTAGTGGCCCCAAAGATATGTCCACATCCTAATTCCTGGGAATCTGTGAAGTTTAGCTTATATGTAGGCAAAAGAGTGACTATTACCTTACATGGGAAGGATGTGATTAAGTTAAAGATCCTAAGAGGTGCTTATCCTGGATTATCAGTGGGCCATAAATGCAGTCACACATATCCTCATAAGAGAGAGGCAGAGGGAGATTAAACACAGACACACAGAAGAGAGGGGCCGGAAAGACACAGGCAGACAGGAGAGATGTGGCCCCAAGCCAAGGGATGCCCGCAGCCACCCAAAGCTAGAAGAGGCCAGGAACAGATTCTGCCCTAGAGTGTCTGCTCTGGAGAGAGTGCAATCCTGCCAGCACCACGACTTTGGACATTTGGCCCCCAGAACTGTGAGAGTAAATTTCCATCACTTAAAGCCACCATGGTTGGGTAGTTTGTTACAGCAGCCCCAGAAAACTAAATGGAGTGTTTGTTTTCCGTCACTTCAATATAACGTGGCTTATAACGCGGTGTTAAGTCTGGCCAGATACCTCAAAGCTGAGTCCAGCTTGGCCCCCACGACCAGGAGGGGGTCCTGCCGGGTAGTCAGCTTGCTGTCACTCTCACCTGCACCATGGGAAACTGCGGCCCTGGCCTCATCCCTGTGACTGGTTCTCTGTTGGCTGATGTCAGCACTGAGCCTCTAGCTGGCAGGTGGCTGGGGGTGGGGGCAGGCAGAACGGCAGGTGCTGGAAGCATTTCTGGATTTATGGGTGGAAACTTCATGGCTCATGAACATCCACTCTAGCTTGGAGCCTGTTGTCTCGGGTGCAAGGTTGACAGCTGCCCGCTGCCTGCCTGCTTCCCCCACCCTCCCCAACAGAGTCAGGTGGGGCCAAACTCACAGAACTGGCTTATCTTTACAGGAAATGTGGACACGGGTGGGTGAAATTTCCAGAGAGCCAGGAGGGGTCCCCAGCTGAATAGCAACTTGCCAGTGAGCCAGGCACACACGTGAAAGGAGGCAGAGACACGGCCCGGGAAGGCTTGGGTGAAGGATGTTTTGGGAAACCGTTGTGCCAGGGACACATCACTCCACACCCAAAGGAGCCTCCAGTCCAAGGCAGAAGACCCAAGGGAAAATTAAGATGAGTACACACACAAGAAAATAAAATACACGCAAAACTTTAGAACCTGAGTCGCAAAGGGACTGGGATTTAAGCAAATGAGGAAGGGCCCCCAGGGTATGCAGACGGGCCAGGGCCGAGCCCCAGCACTCCGTGCAACACACTTCATACAATCATCGGGGTCATCTGGTCTAGTGCCTTCCTTGTGTTCGGGACACAGGATGGAGGAGAATTCTTGCCAGGCAGGTCACACAGCTAGTAATAGAGCCTCAGGGTGTGTGTCTGTCTTCACAGACACAACCCACACAAGTGTGTGGGGTTGAGGACTCAGATGCCAGAAATGACGTTGTGATTGGTAACAGAATTTTCCAAAATGATGACCGGCTCTTGGTACAGTTTTGAAAAGAGCAAAGTCCACTATTCCTTTTATTTACACAGTAAAATAATTGCATTTCCAGAAAACTTTGTGTTTACAACAGGGTTGGGTTCTACACTAAAATAATTAGAAACAGATTTTTTCATCTATACAAATATACAGCAAGATATTTGAAAATTGAATGGGACATGGGTCAATTCCTTGCTGGGCAGGATAGTCCTGCATGTCACAGGATGGCCACGTTCAGGTCCAGTCACTAAATCACAGCATTGCCGCCCTTTGAATGCGGTTATCAAATTGCCCCACCTCTTCCCACGATGTCCCCTAGAGGGCAGTCCTGTGCCGGTTGAGAACCGTTGTCCCGCGGGATCTGGCTGGCCCCGGCTCCTCCCAATGCTGTCCTTCCCATTTTTCTCCAGCAACCACCCCCACAACCCCAGCACTTTCTACCCCAACCTGATTTTTACCTTTCTTCACAGGACTCATCACCTGGCATTGTCTTGATTATGTCTCCCCCACTAGATGGTAGTAGACTCCACGTGAACGGGGATTTTTGTCTGTCTTGGTCCCTGTGAAGTCCCTGGTCCTTACACAGTGCCTGGCCATCAGACAGGGGCAAGGTGGGCAGGACACCCTCCTAACCTGCCTATCCAGGAAGGAAGAGGGTGGCAGACACACAGCCGTTACTGGCCTACAGCCACTTTGGAATCGTGCTGGGCCCTGCCTTGGGGTGGGGGCAGCTCCTGACCGGACCCACATCTGCTCTCTGGGCCACATCCGAGGGGCACTGGGTTGTGAGCCCTCCTCAGACAGCTTTTGCAACCATCTCCTGACTGGGAGGTTCTAATTACGGCTTTCTCAGGCTTCACAGGGTTGGTTGGATGGTGAGTTGCTCTCGTTTTTTTAAAGGTTAGGCTAAAGGTTTCTTCGGCAACATCATTCTCTTGAAAACCTATACTTTTTTTTCCTCTTTTATTTACCAGGCAGGTCGAGGGTCAGTGACAGCAGAGGGTCCTGGGTCTTTTCTGGACACAGATCTCAGGTTGACTTTATTTTTTTCCTAACTTAGCCACATGCCTGTCCCTCAAGATGATGGCCTTGAGGTTAAGAGGCTCAAGCAGGAAGACCACACCCTCTGATTCTCACCATGGGGCTGTCACTGAGTCCCACTGGGCCTTCTTTGCTTATGAGCTCCTCTTACTGTTTGGAGACTAGACGCAAGACTAGTTGGCCCTTCTACCACCACGTGACCCTGGATTTCAGGACCCTCCACACCTTTCTTGTTAACTGGCTAATTCTGGAACTCAGCTCCATCTTTTGATGCCTTGCCAAAAGCAGCCAATAAAATCAACAGGTACCATGTGCTGTTTTTCCCTACCTTCTTCCCCTTGGACTAAAAACTCAGTAGACACATAGGTTGCTTTAGCAAGCTGTCAGACTTAATAGCCGTACCAGATGTTTTGCTGCTGCCTGACAGGGTCCCCCAGCTGTTCTGCCCACTGCACTGGTTTTTTCGTTGCCCGCCACCTGACCACGGACTCCCTCAGTGCCATGCGACTTAGGTTTTGGTCACAGTTGCCTTGCACTTCAAGGCGCCGGTTTATTTGTAAGAGTAAGAAAGTTTTATTACCTGTTGTAATAAAACTCCAAGTCTCAGTGGGACAGTAGAGCAAAATTTTGCTTTTCAGTGGTGCAAAAGGCAGCACACAGCACATGCTGAGCAGGTGGCTTGTCTCTGACTGGGGACTTAGGGACCTTCGTTCCCTCGAACGTCTTTAACATGTGAACTCCAGGGAGTCCTGTATGGGAGCATGGCATAGAGGCCAAGTTTGGAACTTGTATACATCACTTCTTCCAACACTTCTTTGCCTAAAGCCCAGTTTGTGGCCCCAACTTAACTGCAAGGGGGCTGGGAGATGCCGCTGACCTGTGTGTCCAATGGCAAACTGCCACAGTATTGCTAAACCACAGGTTTCTAGCCTGTTAGAAATACCTGGTGGCTCGCACAACCCTCTCAGAACAGTTTCAAGATCCTCCCCAACCTGGCTGCCACCTCCAGTCCAGCTGTTTCCCACCCAGGCCCAGCTCCGGTGGGCAGGCCTCCTCCAGGCTCCTGGTCCTGGCCTGCTACCTCGCCCACCCGCCCCTGTATGAAGTGCAGCCCTTCCTCGTGCATCCTCGGGACTTTCTCAGCTCACATTACACTGATCTCATCCTCTAGGCCTTTTGCACTCTGCACCAGGGCGCTGAAATGCACTGTTCTGACCCTGTTCTGAGGTCCTGCAGGGGCCGTGTAAAGTGGGGCAGACACGCAGACAAGGCTCGGTGAGTGGACATAGGACGTCATCAGAAATTCAAGACCAAGGAGGAGGCTGTCGCCATGGAGGACTAAACCTGCCAGCAGACCTGAGGTTTAGCCAGAGATGTGAGACACGGGAAGCTGAATGATCAGGGGTGGCTGGCAAGGTGTCAACGTGGGCATCGGGGCGACGGTGCCCGGCAGAGCTGCTCTGTATTCTGGTCTCCTTCCCCAGCACCGGTGTGTCAAGGGCACATGTGCCGCGTGGGGACGCCGGGAAGTCTGCTCACAAGCTGCGCAGGGCTCCCCCCACGGCCCAGCGCTCAGCTCCCACCAGAGGGGCTGAGGTGCCCACCCTGCAGGTTTGCACCTCATTCACGGACTGCCAAGCACTTCCTCTGAGGCAGTCTGAAAACTGTTAAACCTTTTAAAACATTTTTCCCCCTTTTCTTAAGGTTCTCATGACCAAACTAAAAATAAGTGAAACAAAACAAAAATCACTCAGAACAAAAACCGCATTTTTACCAGATCTACTTTTATTTCAGAAGGAAATTTGTATTATAGTATTTACTTTTGTTTATATACAAGTTCTTCACATTGTGTTTAAAATGCACAGACCTCCCTTAATTCTCTTGTTCCTGCTTAAATTAGCTGTTATTTTACAATACAAAAAAATACCAAAAAATCGCAGTCCTAAATGTATGTATAACACCCACAATCCCCAGCAATGAAATAGTTTACAATACTTACTCCATATTTACATGAGTACAATAGATGCTAAATTATACATATTAACAAACTAAGCTTGAGTCCAAACCAAAAAACTCCCAAACAAAACTGTAAATAACTATAAAACAAAAACATTTCCAGAGCCAGAATTAGTTCAACAAAACAGGCTTCACTAGTGTTTAGAATGTTTTGTGCACAAATTCAGTTACTGAAAGTCGGTTCCATTATTGCCTTTAAAAGAGAAGGCGCCGGTTTTCCTCTCCAGTCGTCTCCCTGCAGGCAAGGGTGCTCATTAATTTAGACACCTTAGGGGATGTGTCTCTCGGTGGGCTTGGCTGTCTACGAACCGTCATGGTGATTTTTATGGTTTGAGCCATTTGGTAAACTGGGTAAACATTTCAGACTGAAAGCCGGTGCATGGCCTGAGGCCAGACCCTCTGTCTTCCTGGGTCTGTCCTCAGGTGGCCAGTTCTCACAGAAACCACCACAAAGAAAGGTCTCCTGAGATGACGCGTTTGAGGAGCTGGGTTTTGTGGTAATTTTGAAGAGCTTCTTCTCCATCTCAGTCATTGCCTTAACGTTAGCTTAGGTTGTCAGTAGGTGCTTAGTGAATATCTGGTGAATGAATGGATGAATGAATGAAACTGAAGGATCAAAGGTGTTAATGAAAAGACCACCACACCACCACCCAAGGAAGTGAATCACTTCCACCCCCTCCTCAAATACACTCCATTAAATTGAAGGAGCAAGATTTGCACCGTAAGGTAAAACGTCTTTTGTTTTTTATAGACAGTGCTCTGGTCTTTCCATTTGCCCCAGATTTCCCAGTGCATCTCCAGTCTTGCACCTCAGGCCTCACCCACAGATATTCCAGTATTTTCTTTCTGCTGACAGTCTCCTGTCCAGGGCTGTTTTTCCTCTGGGCTAGCTCAGGGGAGTATGGGCTACCTTCTCTCCACACCTCCTTCCACTTTAAGAGATGACCCTCACAGGGAAGCACAGATTTGTCCCCAGGCTGTGTGGGGAGGGGGTGGGAGGTGCAGGAGGCAAGGGTGTGGTTCCCCATGGGGAAACAGGAGCTATTTACTGACAAAGTAGCCACCCACTCCCTCCCCCAGTTTTCAGTATAGTAAATAAACTATGGTCCTGGGAAATGGTCATTAAAAATTTAGACAAAACCACAACAAAATGCAGCCTGGAAAACCCTTTTATGGAAAATCTGGTATCTACAGGTATAGTCCTTGAACCTAAAGACTCAGGATGAGACCGGCCATCCCTGGCCACCCGCAGCACCAAGAGGACAACGGGGAGACTCACGGCTCACTTGCGGAGCCAATGCCAGCGACTGCCCGCCTTTTCACGTGTGCACCGATGTGATTCCTGCTCTCAGAGTTCTCCAATTGGTCCCGGATGCATTTGAACACATGGCCACAATGGGGATGCCTTTCTCAGCTTTGTTACCACCATATCAGGGCCTAACGGGAGGACATCTCTGAACCTGGATTTCCAGTATATGGCACAAAAATATGGTAGGTGAAACTCAGACACTGTTACGTTTAATAAAAATACATTAAGATATTTTTGTTTTATGTACACCCCGAATGTCTGAACATTCGGACACTACTGTATAGTTATGTACAAGTGCAATATCAATGTTTTCATGACTATTTGAATTTATATACAGGCTCTCCGGTGACACGCAGGCGTTTCTCTGGAGCTCCATCCTCTTGGTAACTGGCTCTAAGCTGGGTGTCTCTTTCTCTTGCTCTTCCCTTCTTCTGGCCTGAGCCTGGAGGAAGCTGTTAGCTACTGGCTGCAAAGGAGAAGCAGGTGGAGTCAGCTGTTTCTCCCCTGCTGGAGCAGAATTAAACTTCACTTACTCCTTCCTTTCTTTTAAAAAATAAACATTATCTTTTAGGAAAAAAAAAAAGTAACCAGGTGGCTGTGGGACACACTGCATGTTATTTCAAGGCATGGGACTACCATGGGGAAGAGGCTTCTTTGTCAAGGAAACACTGGTTCTTTGAACAAACAAGGACTTCCCCTGGCAGAGGGTGCTCGCCAGTGGCCTCGTGGTAATTACAGGGGTGAAAGGCCAGTCTATGGCAGGCTCTCTGTGGGTGCTGCGATCTTGTGATCTGGGGGAGGGATGTGGGGACCTCGTAAGAGGAGGGGTCTTTTCTAGAACCGTCTGCTCTTTAACAGTGATGTAAAAAAGCAGCATTTTGAGAGGCGAGGCTCAAAGTCGAGGTGTTTTGTGCATCAGACAGTGTTTTATGGTTCGACATCCTTGAAAACATCTTTCCAGGCAATTCTTCATGGGAGTGGGGTTAGTGATGGGGAAGAGATAGTACTCCCTCTCTAGGCACTGCATATAAAGGTGAAATGCCACAGTTTTTGCTCTTTTGAGTATTAATTTCTCTGAATTCACAAACTTGAGCATTGCTGTCTAAAGGTCCATCCCACCAGGGTGATGCCAGAGAACCCTGGGTCTTGAAGCAGAAGAGAGATCTTGGGAGGCTGCTGCATAAAGCCAGAGTACAGAGCACCATGGATGGGGACAACACGATGTTCAGGCAGTGCCCTGGAGAAGAGCAGGGACAGCCCTACCCCACGTACATTTGGTCACTTTCCATTTGGCATAGTTTTCCTTCTTTGTCCATTTTCCCCATGTGCTTTTCATCCTTATCAGCGTTCACTGTCCTCCCCACAGCCACTGCCTGGGAGCCCTGAGCCCCAACGGGAGGAAAGAGGGCAAACAGCTCCAGGTCCTTCTCCAGGCTTTGGGCAGGCTCTGCCTGACAGCCGGAGACCGCTTCCCTCCTGGGGTGTGACTCCACCTGCAGCCTGAGAACGAACCACCAGCTCAGAGCAGGCCACGGGCACAGAGCCACTCTTTGATCCAGGGGTCCCAAGTGCTGTCACGTTCTTTTCTGCTCAAGGGAGACAGGGTACATGAGCGAGTCCCTTCCGCTGCGGTGCCCTGGCAGGAGTGGCCAGAAGGACTGAAGCAAACATCGGGCCTGGAGTGACCCGGGGCCGGGAGACACGCAGGGAATGTGCCTTCTGTAGTGTCCTTTTTGATAATAATAAAATCAGGAGCTTTCATAGTTAGGTCATCTCTGCTTTCCTCTCAATCCCTGCTGCTATGTTAAATGTTCCTTGGGGTGAGAAAATTCTTTCCTGGCTGCAAATTAGATGTTAGAAAAAGAGCAGATTGCCAATGATAGCTATTTAAGTTTTATAAGAATGTTGGAATGCAATTATGTAAAAACTTAATGCTTACTAACTTTCCAATTGCTAGATCTATTTAAAGTCTAGGCACTTAGTGTGTGTGTGTGCACGTGTGTGTGTGCATGTGTGTGTGTGAAGGTGGGGGAGGAAGAGAAAAAGAGAGAACCTCAAATGGATTACGACTAAACTAATCAAGTTGCTACAGGAAACTACCCATTATATCAGTTTACATTCCAAGTAACACTGCTGACCCTGACATTTAAAATACCCCCTTCTACCTTATGATTCAGAAGAGATGGACCGTTATTAATTCTCAGCTAGAAAAAAGCTACTCCCTGGAAGAGAGAGATTTGCCTAAATCGTGCAAGAATAAATAGCACATCTTTTAACAAAGATAGCAGGCTTCAGATGAAAACAAGTTAATTCATCTGAGTAGTTTTTAAAAGACCAGGTTCAAGAATGACTGATGACAAGGGTCTACTTGTAAACACTACATCTTTTGTTTTTTGCACAGTTGAGACAGTCCCAAGACCAGTTTTCCACAAGTGGACCTGAGTGTCATTCCCAGCTCTCTCACTGGCTCTGCACCGGCCTCCTCCAGCAAACACTGGATCCCCCCGGACCTGTAACTAAACCAGTTATTTCCTATGCAAAAGTAAAAGGTTAGATGCTGGAGCACAGATGGGAGAAACCGTCAAAGAAAGCTTGTGAACATGCAGATGAGGTGGATGTTTCGAGGGTTTCCAGTCTTCTGCCCCACACAGCGTCTCCCTGCCTGCTCCCTCCCTGCAGAAGGCTCTGGCGCGCCACACCTTGCTCACGCCCACGGAGAGTCCTGGCCCCAGCATCAAATGCAGGTCCCAGGCTGCGCAGGGGGCTGCTGCTTCCGGTTTCTCACCGCTCCTGACTTCTCTTTGTATACTATTGGCATCTGCTGAGAAATGTCCACCAGGGCGCTGGCCACTGCGAGACCTTGAGAGAACCCACAGAGGGAAAGCATGTTAAGGAACAGCTTGCTTTTATTTAAAAAATAATTAAAAATTTTTTTCTTTTTACATTCCCACGGTACAATAAATAAATAAATACACAGATGGGAAAGGTCTTACTTTCAATTTGTCTCCCTCCATATTTCCCCCTCCATCAGAGTAACTGCTTTCATTAGTTTGCATATGTTCTTTCAGTGTTTATTTGTACAAATATATAACCCCCGCCCCCCGCCCCCCCCAGTATCTTGCTTTTCAGCAGATCAACCAAGCAAAGTGCCTGGTGGTGGGAGCATTTAAAAAAAATAGCAGACATGCTCTAAGCACTCATTTTCTCCTGCCTGACTCCAAATAGGTGCCAAGAAAAAGCAGCACTCTTTACGATGAAATTCAGATTCATTCCACATCACCCAGCCAGCACTAGTTATTTTTATATTTATATCACAATAGGGGTTAGGACAGACTCTGGGTCCAGGCTTTGGAATAAGTGAGGTTCTTTAACCTCCCTGTGCCTCAGTTTCCTCATTTGTAAAATGGAGATCAGCACAGGGCTTGTGTGATGGGTCAATGAATGAACTGATGACAGGTCACAGAACGGTACCTGGCTCATCGCCCCACCGTCCACCACCACCTCTGCTTTAGGGACTGGTGGCTCCGTTCTCCCTTTCGTATTGGGAATCGATTAACCTGATGCTCATTAGGGAAGGCAGTCCTGGGGGAGCTGGATTCCTATGCATGAGAAAGTCCAGACAGGCTCAGAGCCCTGCTGAGGCCCTCAGGAGCCATGTTACAGGAGCTTCTTACTCCACCTCCCTGAGTCTATACAACTGGGTGGGGGTAGGGAGGTAGCTTTTAAGTGCCAGGTTTAGTGCCTGGCCGAAATGGGGAGTCCATAGCAGTGACAACAGTTGTAGCAAAGACAGCAGGTAGAGGGTCATCTGGGGGAATAATGAACCCACACCGAAGGAGAAAAGGGCCTGAGGTTTAGTAGGAGGAACCTTAAGGTGTACACACCAGAAAGGAGAGAAGCTGTTACCTTGTAGTAACTATAAATGGAGTACAATCTATAAAAATGTTGACTCACTGTTGTATACCTGAGACTAATACAATATTGTAAATCAACTACACTTCAATAAAAGTAAATAAATAAAATGGGGGATGGGGAGGGGGTGGCCCCGCCCCTGGGGCGGGTCTCAAGCAGTGAACAGGTCTTTATCAGGAGTCCAGGGAGGAGGGCCACATCAGGCAGGGTTTGCAGCAGGAAAGGCCACAGTGTCGCAAGCCTGTCACCTCCCCACCCCAGCCACCTTTGCCCTCAGGGAGTCCTGGCCAATGTCTGCTGAGCCGAGCGCTGGCAGGAGACACTGTTCCAGAGCATCTGGTCAATGGGTCATCCTGCCCTCAAAACAGGCAAGGCTGAGCTAGTGGCTCATCTCACAGGACTTTGCTAGATGAAAGCAAATCAAGCCACTCCCCTGTGAATGACAATAAATCCTGGCCTGGTCATGCCTGATGGCCTCCCTGTGAGAACACACAGACTCAGATTCCTGAAAGCTGAGCTGAAGGCCCTTCTGGATCTGAGGGGCTGGGGAACTCAGGGCCTGAGCAAAGACTCTGACTTTACTCATAGTCACAAGGCTTTCTTTGGCTAAGGCAACCCTGACTCACAGAACCATCTCAACTGAAAGTTGTCTAAAACATTCGCACTGTCTGAGGCATCTCTCCAAAGTACTCCATGATTAATCAACACACTTCCAAAATCATTCCATTCCCTCTTCATGTTCAACAGTAAAAGAATGTTTATCTAAATTATGATTCATGTACTTGATGGAATAGTGTAAAAGACTTTGGTAAAATATTACGGAGCAAGCTGTAAAAATGTTTATGATCGTTACATGAAAAAAGAAGAATTTTTAATTTTAATTTTTAATTAAAGCTATACAATCATTGCAACTAAATTATTAGCAAGGGCTAGAAAGGAAACAGAACTGTGAAAATTGGTGGGTGGTGGATGCTAGAATTGTGAGTAAATTTTCAAAACCTTCCTTTAGGATGTTATAATTGTTGTTTGTGCCTTATGCTAAAAATAGAGTGGAAAAGCAGAAGAAATGCAGCAGTGCTAGAAATACCAACTGGAGAACCGCTAACTTGGAGGAGCTAGCAGGAAACCAGGAGAGGAGGTGAGATGACTGAGGAAGCGCAGACGGAGCGAAGAGGGAGAAAGCCCGCATTTCAGGGCAGAGCAAGGAAAGAGGCCAGAAGCAGCACAGTCAGAGGGGGCTGGAAACACTGGCAGCAAAGGAAGGTGTGGTCGGAAGTGTCACTGCCACTGGGAGGCTAAGGAGGCTGGCGCAGCGAAGGGAGCTCTAGACTTTTCCCAGGAAGGAATGGTGACCTCAGGAAAGACAGGTCAGGGCATACAAGCGACCATGGGACCACCTGACAGAATCCTCGCGATGACGCGAGGCAGCACCACAGGCACACCACACTTACTGTGCTTCACAGACACTGTGCCTTTAGTTTTTGTTTTGTTTTGTTTTTCTTTACAAATTGAAAGTTTATGGCAAGTCTGCATTGTCAGATGATAGCATATTTTAAAGAAATAAAGTATTTTTATTTTTTTCCTTTTTTTTTAATGGAGGTGCTAAGGATTGAACCCAGGACCTTGTGCATGCTAAGCACCCACTCTACCACTGAGCTACACCCTCTCCCCAATAAAGCATTTTAAAATTAAGAATGAATATTGTTTTCTTTAGACATAATGCTATTGCACACTTAACAGACTACAGTATAGTGTGAACGTAACTTTTATGCACCGGGAAACCAAAAAACTCACGTGACTCGCTCTGCTGAGGTGTTCGCTTTGTCGCAGTGTTCTGGAACTGAATCTGCGACATCTCCGAGGTACGCCTGAATTCAATGTTGCTTTTATACCCAAGTTCTCTAAGAAAGGAGCCTTCACACATCTGAAACATAACTGTATTTGTCACCGACCCTCATCTACTCACCTGACTGCCCAGGAGGAGGAATTCCACCGAGGCCTCGAGGGAGCCTCACAAACACAGAGAGGACGGCAGCTTTGTTGCCAAAACATGGCTCCAGGGCGATGGGCTTGGGAACAGTCTGGTGGAAGAAAACAAAGAATTACCTAAAGTGGTGTTTCCCAGGAAAGACCTTCATAGCCTTCAGATGTGATTTTAAATGCCCCTGTGCTAGTTTCTATTGCTGTGAAACAAATTCCAACTTAGGTACTTAAAACAGCACCTATTTATTGCCGCAGTTTTGTAGATCAGAAGGCCAGGTGAGAGCTCCGTAGGGCTCTCAGCTTAGGCATGCAGGCCCTGTTCATGTCTTCCATCAGTTCTGGAAAAATTCTCAGCAAAGGTCTCAAGGGGCTAGCTCTTATCTCCAGGAGATGGAAGTCAAGTTATCAGCTGAGCTCTGCGGAGGAATCTGCTTCAAAACACATTCAGATTGTTAGCAGAATCCAGCTCCTTGCAGCTACAGGTCTGAGGTCTCCATTTTCTTGCTAGTGGTCAGCCAGGCACCACTCTCTTCTCTTAGAGGCCATTCCCACTCTTCCCCACACGCCCCCTCCAGCTTCAAACCAGCGTCGGTGCATCAAGTCCTTCTCATGCTTCTTCTTCCGCCACCAGCCGGAGAAAGCTCTCCTTACATCTTAAGGTCACCTACCCTCAGACTTTCATTACTTCTGCAAAATTTCTTCACAGCAGAACCCAGAGTAGTGTTTGACTGAATAATCATGATTCAGGAATCTTGGGGGCCATCTTTAGAATTCTGCCTACCATATCCCCAAACATGTCATCAATTTCCTCAAATCTGTTGAAAAAAATCATTTCCAGAACCACCCTGGCTATGGCATGGGGAAATGACTAGATGAGTGAAATGGCAGCCGGGGGGTAACCGGTTACAAGGCCACTGCAAGAGTCCAGCTGGGAGATGCCAGTGGCCTAGATTAAGGTGACAGGTAACCGTGGTGGACGTGGTGCACTGTGGTCAGGAAATATTTTTGAAGATAAAGCCATAAAGATTTGCTAATGGACTGGCTGTCCAATGAGGATGAGAGCAAGGACAAGTCAAGGACGACTTTGGCCTGGGTGACTAGGGTGATGAAGGTGAAATGCACTGAGCTGAGGGAGTTACACCAGAGGAGCAGGTTGTGGGGAAGAGCATCTAGAGCTCAGTGTGGACATGTTAATTCTGAGATGCTTATAATGACATCCAAGTGGCAACGCTGAGCAAGCAATTTGATACATGAGTTGGCCACTCACGGAAGAGGTCTGAGTGGAGAGCTCACGGTGTTTAAATCCACAATGGATAAGATCATTGCTGTGGTCTGAATATTTGTGTACTTCCAAAATTCGTATGTTACATTTTAACACCCAATGTGATAGTGTTTGGAGGTGAGGCCTTTGGGAAATGATTGTGTCATGAGGGCTGAGCCCTCATGAATGGGATTAGTGCCCTTAGACAAGAGACCCTGAGAGCTCCCCGACCCCACCACCACTTAAGACCAGAGCTAGAAGCCACCATTTATGAACCAGAAATAAGCCCTCACCAGACACCTAATCTGCCAGTACCCTGATCTTGGATTTCCCAGCCTCCAAACCTGTAAGAAATAACTTTCTATTGTTTATAAGCCACCCAGTCTCTGGCATTTTGTTAGCAACAGCCTGAAGAGACTGAGACAGTCACCAAAGGCGTGGATGTAAAAGATGTGAGAGGAGGTGCAAAGACTGATCCTGTGATGCACACGACTATTAAGAGATGCTGGGCAGATGAAGAGGGTTGAACAAAGAATACGGAGCGAGAACAGCCAGAAGGTGAGTGTGGTGTCCTGAGAGTCAAGGAAGTGTTTTAAGGAGCAGCCAACTGCGCCATGTGCTGCTGACAGATGACACAGGGTGTCGTCAGTACTTCAGGCTGGTCTGTTCTTCCTAAACCCACAAACTATTCCTATTTTACCAGGACAATGTTTGTTTAGATTTATGTACATGTTATGCCTTCTTACTCCATCCTCCTGGGGATAATTTTCCTCCTTCCTAGCACATTCTTTAGACGTTTCTTTTGTATAGATGTGTTGGTGGCAAATGCTCCGTTTTTCCCCTAATCTGGAGACATCTTAAATTTTATCCTTGTTCTTGGAAGGTAGTTACTGGGCCCGCTAGTCTAGGTTGGCGGTTCTTCTCTTTCAATACTCTGAAGACATTTTTCTTCTCTCCTGTGGCTTCCGAGAAGTTAATGAGAAGTCAGCTGTCACTCTGTCATTCCTTTGTAGGTGATCTTCTCTTTTTCCCCAGTTATTTTTTAATGTGGTAATTTACACATAACATAAAATTTGCTGTCTTAACCATTTTTAGATGTTCAGTTCAATGGTGTTAAGCATGTTTACACTATTGTGTGACCATCACCACCACCCATCTCTAGAACTCCTTCATCTTGTAAAACAGAAATGCAATTCCTCCTCCTCAGACCCTGGCAACTACCATTCTATTTTCTGTCCCTATGAATCTGACTACTCAAGGTACCTCATATAAGTGAAATTATATATATTTGTCTTTTTGTGACTGGCTTATTTCACTTAGCATAATGTCTTCAAGATTCATCTCTGTAGCATGTGCTAGAATTTCTTTCCTTTTTAAGGCTGAGTAATATTCCACTGTATGTATATACAACATTTTGCTTATTCATTCAATATGTTAATGGACACTTGGGTGGCTTCCAACTTTTAGCTGTGAATAATGCTGCTGTGCACACAGGAGTGTGAAAATATACTTTCAAGACTCTGCTTTCAATTCTTTTGGGTACATACCCAGAAATGGGATTGCTGGCTCATATAATTCTATTTTTATTTTTAATTTTTTTCATTTCCTCCAAGCATTTCTTTTTTAAAAACGTATTTATTTATTTAATTGAAGTACACTTGATTTACAATGTTGTGTTAATTTCAGGTGTGCATTTCGTACAATTTTTTCAGATTCATCTTCCAGCTCAAAAGCTCCCTCCTCACTTGTGTCTAATGTGCTGTTTAACATGTAAATTTAGTCATTTAAAAAATTTCAACTACTATATTTTCGATTTATAACATTTCCCTTTGGTTCTTTCTCAGATCTGCTTGGCCATTCTTGACTCTCATGGCTTCCTCATCTTTATTATTCAATCTTTCATTTCTGTATTAAACATTTCATACAGAGCTATATTGTTCTTTAGATGTCAATTCTGTTGTTTCTGCTGACTCTTATTCATGGTGGCTTTTCTCTCATCCTTGGTGATCTTTGTTTGATCTTGATCTGTGGGAATTCTACACAGCTGAATTGGGTATGTTTTCCTACAGACAGGATCTGTTTCTACTTTAGCTGAGAGCTGTGGTGTGTTACCAGTCTAGAACCACTTAAGATCACATATGGTTCTGGTTATGGTTCATGGTTTGTTTTTTCTTGGAAGAAGGAAAGAAGAGCTGTCCCTGGAAATTTCACCTACTTCCTGTGAGCTCAGTAATGCTTTATTAAGTATGTTAGGACATATAGGTCATTCACACACAAACACACACACACACACACAGCTGTTTCCCAAGAGAATCTGAAATATTTCATCGTTTTGTCAAAAGAGTCTTATCACATTCTTCATCATGGGGGGGGTGTCAGAATTATTTATCTTCCACAGAATTCATAATCAATTATGACTTTTCTTCCTTTAAATAAATCCCCCAAAATATTTATAAAGAAAAATGGTTCAGTTTAGCTATTTTCAAGTTTTCAAGTATTACACCACAAAAAACTTACAAGAATATCAGACAAATTATTTATATTTTAAAATCCCCTGAACATGAGACTGCTTAACAAAATGAATCAACGACTGGAAAATGAAAGCAAAAGGCTACCTAATACCTTCAGTGTGTTGACTTATTATTAAAAAGACAGAGGACAACATAAGAGGCAACAGAATGACACTCTTGCTCTCTCTGGTTACCCAGACTTAGAAGCATGAGTTTTGGCAAGTTAAGTCATAGGGACTTTTGAATCTCAAGCTTACCTTTATACTCCCCCCAATAAGATCAGGAGGCTCTTCATCTGTTTCCAAGGCAACGTTTACAGAGGCAAAGGGACGACTGGCCATCTGCTGCATCTCTCGAAGAAGTTGCTGATGAGCAACATAGCAACCATTAATGCAATGAGTACTGAGTATTGTTACAGGATACTATATATAAAAACATCTCTTCCTTTCTGATTCAAATAAATCAAGTCCAAAACAATATATTTGAGATGGTTGGGGAAAACTGGACATGGACCAGGTAACAGACAACATTAAGACTTTTAATTTTGTTGGCTGTGATAAAAGTATTGTTGTTACATTAAAGAAAAAGTCCTTATCTGTTAGAGATACATAGTAACGTACTGATGGATATAATGCTATGATGCCTGCTTGTTAAACACATTAAATGAATTATCCTATCTCCTCATATGTTATTATTATTACTAGCAGGCTTTCTTCCTTCCTGCTGAAACTTGAACCAAGTATTTACACAGCAACAAAACCTGTCCTCTGTTACACAGCAGATAGGAACCAAAAGAGCTCTTTATTCAGAGGTGGTATAAGCCAAACACATAAATAAACGAAATTTTGCAGAGTAGAGGGACAAGGAGGGGCTCTGGGTTTAGGGAGGCCTGGACATGAAGGCCTGCTCTTACGGGAAGTCATTGATCTTCCACTGAGGCTTACCTCTCTACGTCTGGAAGCCCAACAACTTTGTTTGATCTTCCAAACCACAGCAGCCACCAGGAGCAAAGAGAGGAAACAACTGTGAGAAAGGAAAGTACCGAGTTATTATCCCAGCCCCCAGGTTCAGCAGGCTGTCACCCACACCTCAGGCCAGGCAGCGGAACAACCCTCCAAATACCAACTCCAAGCTCCTTTCTGATGAGTCATCACAACCAAGCCCTGGTCCACAGGAAACAAAGGGTGAGCAGACTGTAATAAGCTGGCTTTCCCAGCCCAGCCACTAGACTGTTCTGTCTCCACCACAAGGTACTCCGAGAGAGGAGAGCCTTGACCTCCTGCTGGGTCTTTATCAGGATGCTCATTATGGCTCATCCCAAATAAGAAAAATAATTCTATAATAATTATGACAAATAACAAGCATGCTATTTAATCAAACTAGCAAACATTTACTAGTAAAGTCTAAAGAAATCAGAAAAGTTAATTATCAAAAGTTAACCACCAGCTTTTCATAAGTAAACAAGAAATTTGTATGTAATTATATATATACATATATATATATATATATATATATATATATACTCAATTATATTTTTACAAAGTAAATTTTTTTTCAATAAAATAAAACAAACTCATGCCAACAACTTTCTTGAAAGCATTGGGAGAGAATAACTCCCAGGGGTCTTGTAACTGCAAATGGTTTCAATGTTCTCTGAACAGTAAACCAGACACTGAATGGTTTGAAAAGCTACTGCAACAGCAGAGAGAATGACTGACTTCTGCTTTAAAAGGGCTAGTGAGCTTAACAAATAAACCTCTTAGGTAATTGCCTGAATAACTTCTTTTTCTTCTTTTTCAGTTTTATTAGGTAGAATTATTACAGTTCGACTGTACACACACATTATATTGCATGTAAATACATATATACAGTATACTGCACTGTTTTTTAGTTCACATGTATGTACTAATTATTGTTTCTAAGAACAGATTACTGCTTAAATAATTTTAAAACTGGCATTTCCACTCATTAACTTGTAAAGGGGGCTTGCTACAGGCACCCTCTTGCTGAGCTCTGTGTTTGCACGATGGGTTGGCTTTGTGAAAGGCAGCCGCAGTGACTCCCGGGCTGGTTGGAGACAGGCACTCAGAGGTGCCAGGAGGACGGGGCTTCTGTCCTTTCACAAACAGAAATTAAGCCTCCCTCAGCCTACCGCCTCCCCAAGATGCACAAGAGAGCAAACCTGTCCAATGGGTACTCTGGCAAAAGAGGAGCCCAGGGTCACCACTCCATGGGGAGCCTGCAGTCCCTAACTTGCTGGGCCTCTTGGCCATCCTGACACTGATGATCCTTCCTCCTCTCTGACAGTTTCAATTTTTTTTTTAATCAACAATTTACTGGGCCAGGTCCTCTTCTAGGCTCATGGAATACATCACTGAAGAGAACAAAAGACCACTTTGGTGCCAGCGGATGGAGGCAAATAGTAAACAATATAAATAAGCAAATTATAGAGCCTGTCAGAGGGTGTAAATGCTACATAAATAGACAGTAAGGGTAAGGAGGTTCGGAGTGCCCGTGGCACTCTAAAGCAGAATGGTCAGAGTAGGGGGGCTTTAATTCTTGAGAAGGTCTCATCTGGGCAAAGACTTGGAGGATGCGCAGCAGGTAGTAGCTCAGGAGAATTCTGGAGAAACGAGCCTGGGCAGCAGGGCCAGCCAGTGCAAAGTCTGGGGCAAGGACGTGCCTGGAGTGGAGGGAAGTCAGGCCAACGATGAAGACATAAAGGGAAGGGGATGGCAGATCATGAGGGCCCTACAGGCATTAAAATAAAGTGGTTGGATTTTACTGAGATGAGGAGCCAGCGCAGGTTTCTGAGCAGAGAAGCATTATGATCTAACTTACGCTGGGGAGGACCATTAAAGTGGCAATGGCAGAAAGAGAAAGAACAGGAGTCCAGGCGAGAAATGAGGGTGGCTCAAATCAGGACGTGTGAAAAGCACTTTGGAAGGTTGAGACAACAGGATTTCCTGATGGGCTGGATGGAGGGTATGAAAGAAAGAGAAAAGCCAGGGTCTTTGGCCTGAGGAATTTGCCATCAACCTAGGCGGGGACGGCTCGGGGGAGCAGGTGGGAGACAGCAGAGTTCAGCGTTAGACATGTGGAGACCTTACACACCTATTTGACAGGCATGGGGAGATGTCGTGAACAGGCAGAAAAGCCTGGGGGCTGGTGTCAGGTCGGGGCTAGAGATGGCATTTGAGAGTCATCAGCAAAGTGCACAGTATTTGAAGTAATAAATCTGGACGGGGCCCCCAAGGGAGTGAATACAAACAGAGAAGAGTGTTCTGAGGACACCCCGACACTGAGAAGTTGGGGAGAACAGGAAGAAGCAGTGAAGGAATCTGAGAAGAGTAACCTTTCCAGTCTTTCATGGTTTCCATGCATAGTCTTGCCTTCTTGCCCTTGTAATCCTGCTTTTTGTTATTTTTATTCTAAGAGATGAACACAAGGAGGCAGCAAATCCACATGGAAGGCACGAGGCCAATGAGTTGGTCAAGGTGCTGCTGAGTATGGGGCTGGCCTCAGAGGCGAGGACTCTGATGTCACTCAGAGGCCCTTCCTGGGACGACCCTCAACGCAGAGCTAGGAAACAGGGCAGCTCAGAAGGTCCGTCTGTGCCCCTTTCCCCCCAGGCCTCAGTGGGGCTTCTGTCTTTAATGCAGACCTGCTGAAAACACCAACAACCTGGTTCCTTCTACCTTTCCAGCTTTTCTAAGAGACACAAACAGAATAGCTGGTAACATGCCTGACGGCTTCTAGGGTAACACAGCAATGAAGACTTTACTAGTTATTTCAAAAAAGATGGCACTTGCCGAAACCCCTCCCGTCTTTTTTTCCTACCACTAATTTGGGACAGGTAAGGCCGTGCCTCAGTGTTCATCCTACTGCAGTCCCTCTTGTCAACTGTTTTGTATATTTTTTAAATACAAATGTAACTTTAAAAAAATCACAGAAACTTTTGAACATACACGAAAGTAGAGAATGACCTAGTCAATCTCAGTACGTCCAGCACTGAGCCTTGGAAATTACTGACATTTTGCCAATGGCATTCAAAGATCATTCTTCAAGAAGTGTATTTTTCTCTTTCAACACAAAGACACTGGCCACGGGCTAAGGGTCTCTCACTTCCTCTTAGCTCTGCACGGAAGGAGAAAACAAGGATCCACTGACCTTTTTGTCCTAAACCTGTCCCTGCTTATGAGAGGCTTGCACTTCCCTGAGACCATTCTCAAAAAGTCATGCTTTGATTCTAGGTCTTTTTTCCCCTCTTTTGTATATATCTTTGAAAACTCACAATTTTTCTGAGAGCTCAGTGTTTGGCGGTGTGTTTTTCACCAGCTTAACTGTAACTGCACAGCTAGAATATTTTGAGAGCATAGTGAAACTTCCTCCTGGACCGTAAGGCCATTAAATAACGTGTATCTTTTCCTGTCCAGCCTTCCTAAAACTACGTATCATTTCTTGGCCTGACCTTGACCTCCGAGCCAACCTAAACACAGAGATACTGCTGCTTCTGCACAAGCTCCTGGGATGATCTGCACTTTACCATTCTGGTCTGAATTCAAAGTGGCAGGTCCCCATATCACTTTCATCTTCTGGAAAATGAAATGATTAACAAGTTGTGGATTTGTCAAAATGTCTGCTGTCCATCTGACAAGAGTCTTAGCAGAAGTTCAGATAATTAAAAGTTTTCTAAAAACACTGTATCTTGCTTATATTAGGAATTCCCATTACAATACCTCCTCTTGGCCAGGTGGCAGGACGTCACTGCCTGCTTCTCCTTTTCATCCTCATCCAAATGCTACCCTCTAAGGCGCCTCTAACTCCAGCCACACAGATTTCCACAGAGTGTGTGTCTGTCTCTCCTGCTTTTACTAACAGTCACCATCCTGACCACACTAGCACATCACTCCCAGATAGTCTTCCACATACATCACCTCACTGGATTTTTAGAGCAAGCAAATAAGTCGTATTATTTCCCTCTTTATACACAAGGCTCCTACTAGAGTCGGAGGGAGCATCTCAACAAGACACCACGAGGGCTTAACGGATTTATCAGAATCTAGAGTTTACTCTTCACTGTGCCCAAGTCTGGGAGTCCTTTTCTAATTTACCTCATACTGACATTTTCTCATTTGAATCACTGAGCTGCCCCCTTCCACTCCAACCCCCAACTCTCCTTCTCTCTTCCGTGTGCTATGACCTGTTGTTCTGAGTGTGCAGGATTATCTGGGTACCATTCCTTCTCTCCTTATATTTCATGTATATCCTTTTGGACCTGGTTAACTTGCTCTGGGAAAATATTTTCTTCCCCATGCTCATGAAAAGGACTCTATTCTCAGCTAAAAGCTCATCATTCCGAGTTCCTAAACAAAATTCAGAAAAAAACAAAGTTCTGGATTCTTTTCCAAAGGTCCCCACATTCAAAAGGGAGAAGTGATGAGAACACCATCTGTCCCGTTTCCTACAGACTGTGGTCCCTAAAGATGCTACCCTGACAAATTCTGATGGTGTCACTCCGTCCTCCACCATCAGCTGAAGTGACTGATCCTCACTAGGCTGGTACTTGGTAGCAGAGTCATCTCATTCCATACACACAGTCCAAGAATATAACACACCTGCTAACTGGGGCCGCTGAGTTAGCACAGGGCTGCTGCATTCCCACCAGCCAGCAGCACCAGCTCCTTCCCCTCAGGGAGGCTGGTGCCTGTGGCTCCTCATGACTTTGTACTTCTCCCGAAGGTCTAGTTTACTTTCCACATGTTTAAGCATGACTCAGTGCTAGGTGCTGCAGATGTGTGTACACGGGAGTGAACAAGAGACAGTGTGCCTGCTCCCTTGAAGCTTAGGATCTAACCATGAATACAGATAATTAGCAAGTACAACACTGTGACATGTACCATGATGGAAAAGAATACAGTTCCATGGGCGAGAAGAACCAGGGGAGAGGATTTAGTCCGGGGGAATCCTGGAGGAAGGGACACTGGGTCTCCAAATTTGAAGGATGAGTGTGATATAGTAAG